TCTTTTGATAATAATCTTATCTTTTATTAATATGTATATATGTAAATGATCTCCTCATAAGCTAAATTGCAATTAACTGATTTATGTAAAAGGAATGTCAGAAGTGGGATTCGAACCCACGCCCTCAGAGAGGACCAGAAATCTCTTTTTGACCTGTAATGACAGGCAAGGTTAACCTTGAGTCTGGCGCCTTAGACCGCTCGGCCATCCTGACATATCATCAACGTCATTATTAACAATATATTTTTTTAAACATGAATTATCAAAAGCTTACATTTTTTGGAATAAAATATAAGTTATTTTTCCTGAATACATTCAGTAAAGACGTGTTTTTTCATTTCGCTCGTGATAAGATTGGGACAATAAACACGTTTATCGACAGTCTAAGTGTGATACATTTCATAGAATAAGCAACGTGCCAAACGATGTACATTTAATTAAATTTTATTTACAATTAATCGATTCGAAGACTGTAGATGAATAATGTTTCTTTGGATAATATTGCAAAAGTGGAAAGCGTGAGTGTTTCTATGTTTAATTCAACTATTACTGGTTTCCAACGAAATTGCCATTTTGAGAACATTTGTCTTTCGGCTTATGATAATTCTTTTAATGAATAAAATGTCAAACATGACATAGAATAATCGAATCACATTTCTATATAATTTTTATATAAACATAACCAATTTTATTGACTCGTTTATTGGCAAATATTGCTGACATTAATTACTATTAATTATTTTTGATAATTTCAATAACATTTATATTATATAATATTTTATTTATAGATAGATGTTTTAATTGAATTTGTTGAAATGATTGGGATGTAATAATATTAATTGGTCTTTGAAATTTGTTTTCTTTGTGTGAGAATTCAGCAAAAGTATTTATAGTTGCCATTAAGAAGTATGCACATACAATTGTTATGTAATGACCGCATATAATTTGCTTGCGATGTGAGTTATTCGGCCCCGGCGTTTGAAGAAGTTTCCTGTTGACCTCAAAAGGTCGAAGAAAATTTAAGCACTAACGGAGATGTCGCTATTTAGCAATTCCCAATAATACACATATTCGCCGCATTACAAAATTGGTACATCTGCTCTTTCATTCGCTCTCACTATAATAATGCTGTAATATTTAAAGACTGTTATACAATATATGATAGTTTCACTTTCTTCTTGCTCACTGCAAAGCTAATTGTCTATATAAAACGTTCCAACGTTCCGAAAGACAAGAGCAAACAATCAAAAAAATAAAGTAAACATGAATTAACAAGTTGTGAAAATAAAAAAAGAATGAATTGACGCTAATCGCAGACAACTCGGATTCGCTAATTATATAATATGGATCGTTCGCAATTCATCGAATTCATTTTGCAAACGTGACCGGAGATCGTAAAGTTCGTAATTAAAAACGTGCGGATGCATGGGACGCATTTCGTGTGGCACTTTAATGATTCCATTTATTTGTGGAATTATATTAATTAACGTAAATGCATTCGATAACCGTCCATTTACTAATTAAACCAATATTATATTACCGCATTCGATGTTTGCAATCGTTCTCAATATTTATTTTAAATATTTGACCCCCTCCGGCGAATTTCAATTCGTTTCGTTGCCACCAACAGTTGTCTATTAACTGTTCAAACAAGAAAATTATATAAATTACTTAATAAAGCAATTTTTTTCTGTTCTGTCTTCATGTCAATTTGACAGTTATGTCATATACCCTTGATGTCAATATGACATTTAAGTCATATTGATATATACCATTAATGTTAAATTGACTTTAGGTTATAAGTTGAATCTATTTACATTTATTTAATAATAAAAGAGTTATACAAGAGTTATGTCCAACCATTATCATTACAATTGTTATTGTTAATAGAGTGTATAATCGAATTCCCACCCCGTATTAATAAGATTGTAGATCAAATTTCTACTATAGAGACTACACAACGAAAACACCACATCACTTTGGCACGATAATCCGACTACTTTGACTAATGTTAATTAATAACAAATAGCAAATAGTCTCTTTTATGTGACACAACCAAGAACTACTAATCCAATCCCATCAATATTCCCAACTATGACTATTGCTCTGCTCTCCTTTGCCCCCCCCCCTCCCACACAATACCAGGAAATCAAAGAATATATGAAAGAGACGTGTTTATTTTCATATTTCTACTGTCCTCCACGACATAAATGTTTACACAGATGAGAACCTGAAGTACACTTTATTTCCTGACAAGTCTTCAAACATTAAAACTTTCCAGCATTGCTTTTTTTTTGCATATTCATTTTGAAGCTCTCTTATTAGACAGACTAACTATAATTTTTACAAAAAAAATATAATTACGACTTACAAAATATATTGGTCTATCAACTTTATGAAGACTTTCTGCTTCAATATTGTAAATTGAATAGAGTTTTTTTTTACATTTTCTCATTTCCAGAGTGGATTGATAAAATATGTATTCTATTCAAATACAGTGATTGATAAACTGATCAGTTATATTAGCATACAATTAACATCATACCTAAAATGATTCGATTTGGCTATAATTTATCGGTAAGGAATGTTAATTACAGAGATTATAAATAAATATTCTTTGGTATTCCGAATAAAGCGAGGCGAAAGGATTCTGCTTTAGTGTGAATAGAAATATTCTGGAACGTGATGTGTTATATAATAGTAGTTAGATTTCAACATAGTAAATTTATTAAACACTAATTAAAAAATCATAACCATGAATAATAACATGATTATAGTAAATGTATAATTTTTATTATTTTTATATTGATTTCAATTGGTAATTAGTAAATGATTTCCAGTTTATAAATTTGATCAATTTCCTGAATGAAAGAAATACAAACATACTTGTATATTCAAGTATATTCTAATCACAGATATTGTTGTTTGAATTTATGAACAAATTGATGTTGTCGATGGCAATTTTTCGTTACGTAATTTTGCAGATTGTAAATGCTATTGTATTCGGTTTGAATCGCGCGTGCTTCTTCGATGGTAGATATTATCCACTGGTTGTGTATAACTACTGAAGTCGAAGATGTGCCTGGAATAAAAATGCTGGAATGGAATTCACATGGCGAACGTTTTTTTCGAAATGAGAGAAAAGAAGAGAAGATGCTGGGACATTTTCCCACTGCAATTTATTATTTTATGCGCGCACACAGTCTTACTACACACACTGCCGATAGAAAGTTTTCGTGAAGGAGGAAACGATCTCGAACATATTATTGTCTTCTCGTGCATACACTCAGGCTTATTAAGAAACGTGTATTGGTTAACTCCATTTACCATACAACGATTATATTATTACACATACTTTGTGAGTATTTCAATATATTGTATAGAATATTTGCATTATTGATTAATTTCCTATTGATTATCATTTGCATATTTGAAATTAACCGATCATCGATTTAATAAGCGACTTTAACTTTATATTAATATTGAGAAAATATTACAATAAAGAACAGGAAAACATACAGAAAGTTTCTTATGGAAATTTAAATAATTATCTTATGTATATATAAATTAATGTACTAAAATAAAGCATTAAGTAAAGTCAGTGCTAAAGCAATAATATCAGAATTGTAATAAGTATTAAAGTCTTACCAATATTTTTTTCCAATTTTTGAACAAATGTAGTTATCAGTGTTTAAGTGTTTAAGCTTTAAATAAAATCACGTTCAAGAAGATGGTAGTTTCGTTTCCTTTTTGATAAATGAACATGTAATCATAAATATGAATGGAATTATGGTATTCCAAGGATTGTAGATAATTTTTCATATTATGTTCTTCAATGCAAATCACAGCATTCAGACGTCTCTCGGGATTCATCAGAGGCGTAACGTTGAGGAAAGGTGTAGGCGCTTGTTTTCGATACGCCCCAAAACCCAGACCCGGTCTACAAAGGGAGAGACCAGAGACCTTGGTGTTCATGGCAAGATTTGCTAAGCGCGAGACACCCGAAGGTTATTCCCTGTTTAACTTATAAACTATATATTCAATTCTCTTCGTTCCGAGATGCTCTTCACAAACTACATTTTACGTAAAGTAATAAATTTTATTTATAATAAGAAAAACGACATTGAGATTAGAAATTCATTTAGTGTAGAAGATGATACTTTTTCTCTGGAAGATTTACAAACCCTTAATAGACAAAAAAAAAAGTATTTTTAAGGGAAATATAGTATTGTTACCTCTGAAAACGAAGTTTCTCTTAACGAAGTCAATTCGTGCGTCCTATTTGTTAATCGAGGTATGACTGTTACGTTTTACATTTAAAAATAGTTCATGATTTTTTTAATATTTTAATCTCAAACATAATGTTTTCTATTTACTCGTTGTGAGTAGCATATGTATTGTTAGTAATATTAACTGCTGGTCAATAAAAATTGACGAACAAAGTTATAACATTTAACTTGTATTTTTATATATATATATTATATCATTTATTGTATACAAAAGACATTATATTATGTATATACTATGTTTGTTATACTTTAAATTGTGAATACGTACTTAATTTTTAGACTATTACAAAAAAAAAACATTGTTATTGTTCTATTATATAATGGTAATCTGTAATATACTAACACAAACTTATATTTTATAGAATAGCTAGGTGTTACATAGCTATAAAGAAGCAGTTGATTGTAGTATTCAATATTTAATAGCTAAATGCATTTCTATCTGATTATCTCAGGACAATCACCGTTTAATAAGCCGCAATTCATTACATAATAACTTTCTTATTGGGACGCGCAAAAACTAAATATTTTTAACATGAAAACACGGTTGCAAACTCAACAACCTGATGTATAGATGTTGAATTACTCTTTTCAGCAAAAAATATGATTTACAATAATTAATTAATACTAACATATTGCATATTTGCACATACACACACTATTGTCTTAATGAATTAATTAATTGTACTAAATGTTGTATCTTTTTGTTTACAGCCTGGCGGTCGACCAGAGGCGGACTTCACGCTGGATGTACCACGTTCGGAGCTACTATCCAAACGGATGAAAGACGACAAGAAGTGGAGATGCAGGTGTCGCCTTCTGACAACCTTCCTCGGTCTCGTCTTCTTCCTGCTCTCCGTAATGGCTGTTAGTTTAATATTGACTAGGGGAAAAAGAATGTTCGGATCCATGGTATAGCGTCAACGCAGCAGCAGCCGACTTCAGGGCATTCTTCTTCTTTTGTTTTGTTTTTAAATGCTGCATGTGTGTACGTCCGTGTGTAAGTGTATTGTATGAATGCGAATTTATGAGTGCAATAAATATACTATTTCCGCCATCATTTTGCTCACGAAAAGAATAAAACGTATCGATCGAAGTAGGTGCCAAATAGTTACCAATGTATAGTTTTTGTTTGTTTGTTCGTTTGTTAGCAGTATTGGTCCCTTATGGACCACAATAGTATCTTGTGATAAAAAGAAATGTTTTATTAATAATGATATAGATTTTTTTTTTGTTTAATTGTTATCAATTGCGCTCAGCCATTACTTTGTTTATTTATGTATTAATATAATCCCTCAGACCAGTTATTATTTATTATTTATGCGACGAGATCTAAATAATAATGTGAAACCCGAGAAAACAACTAAATCACTCACGAAATATCAATATTTATGTATGTGTATGTCTACAAAAAAAAATGCAATTATGTAATTTATTTTATACTACTACTATTTTTTTTAATGCAATCATTATCCCCTGCTTCTTCCATCGTTTATTTTATTTGATTTTTTTTTGTTATTGTCCGTTACAGTTTAAACGCTTCTGATTTTTCTTTTTTTGTACTTTTATTCATCCTTCTCCACTTTTGTTATAAGTTCTACAGTTATCTCCCATTTCTTTTTATATATTATTTTGTTTCTTTGTATATAAGTTGTTCAGGGAACGGCGAGAATTTGTCTCCGCCATTTCTCCCCTAACTTTCGATACGTACGTTTGTTAAAAGAAAGGGATACAGAAAGAAATTTGAAGAAAAAAAATCGCAGAAGAAAGAAAAACGAACAAAAAAAAGAAGTCTGACTGTAAATTATGAGAATATCTGGGTGTGAATATTGTAAATATAAATGTATTTAAATTAGTTGACTCGTTTTTATTACCCCGCACCAAAAGAAGCGACGCTGTTATAAATTAGTTTTGAATCGAGAACATGGAAATAAAAAATGTGGAACTTTCACGGGTATTTCAATTTGGAAAGCGATTTAAAAATTGTCGGATTTATTTATGGAGATTTCATTCGGTTGCACATATTATACTGTCCAGTTTGACGTCGTGGTCATGGGTTGGTAGGACTTCCACCATTTGCTCCTTGAAGGCTAATCCGATTGTGGTCGGACCAATCTCTTGGATTTGGGATAGGTTTTGCAGGAACTTATCGTAGTATCCTTTACCATGACCCAACCGTTTACCGTCTTTGGTGAAGGCGACGCCAGGAACAATAACCAAGTCAAGACCTCCGGTTTTTATCGCGTCTTCCCTGATTTCATCCAAAGACGGTTGCTTAATTTTCCATTTGGTCAAAGGAAGAGTTTCCCAGTCGTCCATAGATTTCAGACGCACCATCTCAAGGACATCGCCAAAGTACCTGAAATACAAATAAATTGGACCGTGCAGAATGATTCACGATACAGATGAGTAAAATATTGCTTCATTCTTTATGATCAGCAATACTTGAATCATGGACGTGCAACACGACTCACAGGCGATCATGTCTGAACTACAAATATTTATTAACTGTTTTTAAGTAGTTGAATGTCACAAATAAAAAAAAATGGAGAATACAATTATATTTAATCCAGATTCAAATTTGTACTTACCTGGGAATAAAGCACATTTTGTTCATCTCGAACATTTTTCGGATAATTAACTCTGTGCCAATTTCATGATTCGTACTTAAATATATTGAGATTCTTTGGCAAGCTTTAAAAATCGGCAGATTAATCACCTGAAATTAGCAAAGCAGGATTAGCGAAACGCATAAATCGCATCATTTTAGTTGCAGCTATTGTTCAGGATAGTTCGAAGGTTAATATAAATAAAATACAGTTATTGTGAGCCACAATTTCGCAAAGAAATTAGCATGTGCAACTGATAATTATGATTACATTATGTTATTGGCACTGAATCGAGTATCATTAGTAAGTATAATGCAGAAAACGAACAGTATTTGCATTCTCCAATTTTATAGTTAATCACATCAAGTAACGACAATTTAATAATTATATTTAACTCGAAGTTGCGCGATGATGGAAATATCAGAGATGAACAACGTTTCTGAATTATTCATCGCATCAATATATTATACCATTTTGTTGCTATATTTGACGTTTTTTACTACTGAAACCGTTATTGGTTTAGAATGTAAACTATAGACCAGCATTTCTTAACCATTTTCCGTGCGACCCTAGAAATTTGTTAATAGTTGTTAAGTTTTTCATGAGAGACATCTGTCATTTCATAACTTTCCCAACTTTGGTTGAGAACCACTGCTTTAAACTATTTGAATACTTTAAGTTAATAAAGAAAATAAATAGACATAGTTATGAAAAATCTACATTACTATAATAAATCATAAACCTATTGGTCCAAGTAGTCAATAATTTTGGTAGTAATTCTCTCATAGTATTATTTGAGCACAATTTTCGAAGAATAAAAATATTTCTTCCATAGTCCAAAACAAGTACTCAAATGATATATATTATATGCAACCCAACTACAGACGTGTACACTCAGTTACATAACAACATAACCAATAAATTTACATACAAATAACGTTAACATGTGTTGCGTTTACATGTATTTAAATATTGTTTGTATAATATAATACAAAGTATTACCTTGTTACAAACGAACTCCGTTTGCGACAGCTTGTCTTTGGCGTTGAGCGACAGTATTTTCTGTTTTATCTCTTTTCTCAGCAAAGCCTTAGATGCTTGGACACTCGACATGTTGGACATCAATTAGGAAACAATTCTCGATTGGTTGCTTTAAAGTTATTGCATGACCGCTCTGTTAGATATCAGTTCAATGTCATAGCTTAATAACTGTTATACGCTAATCTACGCTGAAAATGCAAGCAAGCAAATAAAAACAATAATATCGGTTGCAATGACACATATAATACTTGTAATGAATACTTTTTGGTTTCAATTTTGTTTATCCGTAATTAAGGATAAGAAATTGTGTAAAAAATGCAACTGTTGTTTGTTCTTTATTAATTAATCTGTATCATTTATCGTTATTTTGTATAACATTTCTTTGGTATTCAGAATAATCCTGATATTTGAAGGATAACATTAGGCAACTAAACACACATACCTGAATTAATCTAATCTTAATACATATTCATATATTTTTTTTACTTTTACTAAAATATTTTGAATTAATTCTCAGCCATGTATCAAGTATAATACAAACTTTTAAGAATTATCAGAATTATTATATCAATCATACATTTGTAAAATTAACTGATTGAGTATGCCCTTAAAAACTGGTAGTAGAGAGCTCTCAATTAGTGATAGACAAGAGCCGCAAAATTTGGTCCCTTTCCAGAATGCATAAATACTCAAAATTTAGTCTATTAATTTAATAAATTTGCAAATCTGAATTATATCTGAATTTATTTTGATACTTTTCTATTTTTTGTTCAATGTTAGTCACAGAAAATAAACAATTTTGTGGAAATCCTATTAAATAATAGGAAAGTTTATGTACTGAAAATTCTTGCAAATATCTTTTAATCGAAACTCGCGAAACGTTATTGATTATTCTAAAATTACCTGGCAATTTATTTTCACTAAACTATCAATTAACAATAATATATGTTCTATTACGTTCCTTGTACGCTATCTGCGCAGAAAAATTGATTTAACCTCCGACCTTTCGCTGATTATTCCAAAACAAATGTTGGAGTAGTTCTAGAAAGTTTTGCTGCAACCATGGAATGATAAACTTGATAGTCGCACAACTTACTTATAGAGAAAGAAGATACGACAAGCATGCAAAAAGACCGGATGCGAATGATGGACGTTTCCGTAAGAATGTTTATTTCATTTTGGAATATTTATGCATGCACTCTACCAGCGTTTCTCAACCTTTATGTCATGATTTTTTGTATTTGTACTTTGACCCAATTATGTATGACGTAGAATTTTTGACAGCTGTCATTCTGACGACAGGTGACAGCTGTCATTTCGCAAATCATTAATTGTTTTAGTAAAATACCAAAATATATGGAAATTAATCCTTTTTATTGCGCCACCCAATATTCAGTAATAGTAGAAAGAACCATTTTTTTATAATATAAAATTGAATAAAAACTGATAAGTATCTTTGATAATTAAGAGTACCTCTTCCTCGTTTTGACGTAAGGTGACAGCTGTCATTTCACTCCGATTCTATCAATTTAACTGTCATATGATTCCATAACTACCAATTAGTGTAGTTGGTACACTTGTTAAAACTAATTACAGAATTTTTCATACTTGACTAATACGCAAAATATTATTTTTTTTCTACTAAACATAAAAGAAAATAAAAATAATGCAGTACATATTGAAATGAAACATATTGAAAATCAAGTAAATCAGAATGTACATGTACTAAGTTTATGGGAAAGCAATAAATGTCAAAACATTTTTTGATTATTCAGCGGCGATAAAAGAAATATGCAGAGATAATATCATAAAATTCGATCGTGACATGCATCTATGTTCTACAGTTTCTTATCCACGTCTGGAATATACATGTAAAATGAATGTAAAATTTACGTGCCAAACAAGTAAGGTTTTTTCTTCGTGAGTTTAAAGTTTCATCAATAAATTTATTTACTTATCACTGATAGTTTTGTTTGTATATTCCAACCAACAGTTAACTTTTTCATATAACATATTTATTTAATAGTAAATAAAGTAGCTTTAGAAAGTATTTATATTTAATAAATGTTGATCACTCATTGACATAATCATTATATATTTTAAAGACTTATTCTTTACTTTTTTGTTATATTATTTATTTACCCTTCATTTATACTTTGTTACATTACAAAATTCTCTATCTAAAGATCAGAAATAGTAATACAATTTAGTGTAATTATTTTCATGCTTATTATTGCTTTAAGTATACAATTATACTTACGTGTTTATCCATTTATGAGATTACAATAATTATACTTATAAGTAAATATAAAAAAAAACAAACAAATCGTATCTGATGTTTCTTTAAATTGTATGATTTTACATGAGACAAAAGCTGATATTTTTATGTCTACATTAATTATTAGTAACTGCTTAATAAGATTAAAAATACTACTGAAATTAAAGTAAAGTAACAAAAAAACTAATTATAACAATGTACTTATAATATTATAAAATATATATTTATTTGTCATTGAAGTATTCTTTTTGATGTCATTTACTAATTTCCATATATGATAAAAATCTTCTATAAATACTTTTTAAATAGTTTATAATATTATCTTTTAATCGTTTTAATTGACTGTTTAGGGACCTCATAAAGTTGAAAAATATATGAGTTATATTATTACTTTATATACTCATCTTATAAGATAATATTTATAATAAAAATAATTATTTATTCAAAATATACTGTATATTGTATACATGTTTCTATCATGTACAATTAGTAATTTACTAATATTAATTACAGTTTAGTTGGATCAAAAGTTAGTTTCAAGTAAATTTTGGTCTATCAATATTAATTAATATGTTACGGAGTTTGGCTTTAGGTAATAAACGTGATATTGGTAAGCAAATAATCCTTGATTAAGAGATAATTATATAAAAAAATCTAATTAGACGGATCTATTTGACCTATTGAAACACTCATTTATATATAAATTAAAAAAATGAAACGTAACAAAAAAAATCATAATAAAATACAAAATATTCAATTTCCAAACTAATAACTGAAAGAAAATTATTTTATTGAAACTACAAAACAAAAAATTGATACAAACATAAAGTCAAATATATATAATAACTATATAAATAGAATCTATGTATTTTGTTGTATTTCGCAATTTTTATATTATTTTTTTAATTTTTTTTTTGTATATATTAATTCTAAGTTTTGTTCAATTATTTGGCCTACTAATATAATAAATTTGTAATATTTTCTATTATATTTACAAAGGTACCGCGTGTATTGCATATATACCTAATCATACCGAAATAGGGGTCAATAAGACACAACCTTAAAAACAAGTTATATTTACAGTTTTTCATTCATTTCATAGAATATCATAGGATTTTGGAGTTGCTCGTAGTATATTTATTGGAGTAAATCATGGCTAGTTACAATACAGTATGATATGAGTGGAGTGAGCATCACAGGATATTTTGTTAAATCTAATACAAAATAATTCCGAAATAGGGGTCAATAAGATACAAGCTTAAAAACAAGCTATACATCGAGGTTTTAATTCCATTCCATGCTATGAGCCATATCATCGCATATTCTGTTAGATCTAATACTTTACAAAATTATTACGAATTTGTGCTTTTTCGGGATTGAAACCTTCTTTTCCTTTATTCAAAACTAATAAGTCAGTTTTCATGCGTTGGTCTTCAACATCATATCAATATTCGTGCATGAGAACTCATATTTGTCGGTTATATATAATCTGTTTCTTACTTTATGAAATAGAATTGTTCATCGTATTGGAATGCTTTTCCTCTATGTTATTGAATTTTCTAAGAACTTTGATTTTGTCTGCCTTAACGTTATTGGATACATTTCTTTCTTCAAAATAGCACTTATAAGATAAAGAACATAGGGAATATTATAGTTCTTGTATAATGCATTGCTTTCATCTGTATTTATAAATACTGTACTACATGAGTTGTAATAACAATGTAAATACTTTCCATTCATCTTTGTTTTCAATCATACACGTGCATTATTTAGCCTATTTATTACGTAGAGAACCTGAACTTGCTTCTTTTGCATCGATTGTTGAATAAATAAAAGAATAAATATTGAATTGGAAAATTGAAAATAATTGGAAATGTATACAAATTCTAGAAAAAGTTTTAAAATAATAATAATAATAGCGAAGTGATTATGTTAAAACAGTTATAATTGGATGAATGAATAGTATTTTCACAAATTGTATTCTTCATTAATTAAAGATGTTGGATGATCCTGCAAAATTTATTTGATCAATTAAGAGTTTATCTTGCTTACATTTGACATTGTAGATTACTTGTCTAGACTTGGCGCCTAATCCCACAAATAGAGCCTTGGTTAAGAAGAAAGCACGGCGAAACAACATTTCACCTGAGCCAGACGTTGCCTGGCCATGGATGCTTTGGCAAGTACCTGCACTTTATCGCAGAGAAGGAAGACGAAAGGTGCTAGTACTGTGAGAAGGACGATAGCCCTGAGTACACGCTTTTTAGATGCTGCAGATGGATTAGAAGGAAGGACAAGGCGGAGGCAGAATTGGGAGTTCTGCTAGGCCAGAAAATGTTATCAGTGAAATATTGAAGAGTGCGGAGAGCTGTGATATTGTAGCGGCGTACATATCAGAGATGCTACTAGGATAGTAGCAGTGGAGGCCAGCATTGCATTGATCTAAGGGAAGTGCCAAACAGGCAAAGACAATCAGCATCGCAGAGTAGTATAGTGAAAAAGGTCCTGTATCCTGACGAAGAAGAGGAGAGGTTTTAGTGGGGTAAAAATCCCATAGTACCACGACTCCAACCAATGTAAGGTTTCCTCTCCTCTACAAAAAAAACGTGAGATTTTGTATATATGTGTCATATATTATTTTTTTTGTCAATGTATATACGTGGAAAAAGATGAAAATTCAAATGGGTTACTCCAAATTAATTAATAATCGGTAATAATTAAATTGTTTTTATTCTATAATTTAGTGCTAATTTTGAAACAACTGTACCGAAATATTAATTTTAAGCTAATTTGATGTATTATTCAATTATTATGTATGCAACCTACTAATTAAAAAGTATATAATCGTATTAATCCATCCATTAATTATCGCTGTTAATTATAGTTTGTAATTCAATAATCTACTGAAAATTTGTGTAAAAAAATTGGCCAATAATAATAATATGTATGATTTTTGTATCTACATCAAATTGTGGTTGTGTCAGGTCTTTATGAAGAAGTACATTAAATTATTAGATAAACACGAGGGTAGTTTGTAAAGTTTCAAAAGGAAAGTTATCGTTGCACTGCCGTTGGCATATTATAAAACAACCATTTATCAAAGGACCACTGTAACATTTTCAGACAACTGTGGTGATATTGAAGCAAAGAAAACAGGTTTTAGTTTAGTTTTTATTACCAGGGAATAAAAGTGATCATCGTGCAGCGATAAACCATTTCTTAGAAAATTGTGTGGAATTGTAATGAAAAGATCTATTAGAATTGTCAGATATGTTAAATGGTATAGAAAATCCCATTTGTCCTATGATGAGAACATTTCATCTTAAATCAATGGCTTATAAATCAAGAAACTGATGATTCCGCATTTGTTGATAATCGATTATACATTCAACATATGAATGATTGATTGCAATAAAATATAATTAAAACTGTGAACATCATTACGACTTGTCTGAAGATAATTAATTATAAGTAAATAAAAAAAATCGATTTTCTTAATCAAATCCTTATAAATTGCAAAGTAAAAACAATCTAATATAACATTTCTCTACATTTTTGAGAGATTTCTGTTTCCATTGGAATAATTTTCATCAATTATTGAAATCAACTTATTTTTAATATTTCAAATGTCTGGTTGCGATTAAATACGTTTTGTTTGGTTCCAAAATGTTTGCTTTCTACTCTATTGTCGAAACGCTGCGAACTAAACTCGTTAACTATTAATAGAGTTTTTGGCCAATGCAACAACAAAAAACGTTGACTGTCGACCAAAAACAAGTTTCAATAACCACCAGCAGTGTTTAGATATTTTTAAACGTGACATATGTGAAGTGTTTTCAATAATTTTTCAGTTTTTAAATTGAGTCAGTATAATATCCAGTAATTATTGAATTCATTACAACTTTAGCAATTTTAATTAAGATTATATCCGTATAAAATGTGCTCAATAGTTTTTGCTTCAAAATTCAATTGAATCCATACATTTCACAGCTTTCATTTACTTATTGTTCGGTAATACGTACATAATTATTTAAGGCCAGAATTAACCGAATTAACATACACATGTGTATGTAAACGTAAGAATGTTTTATTCAATCTAGTCAGACTCTGTGCGTGGATAATTAATAATATGTTTTCTTCTGTAAATGTTTTTATTCAATAAAATCAAAAGAAAACGTGACATATGTGCATTGTTTTGTGGTTTTTCACATACAATGAATTGCATGAAGTGTTTTCAATAATTTTTCAGTTTCCAAATTGAGTCAGTATAATATCCTGTAATTATTGAATACACATGTGTATTTAAACGTAAGAATGTTTTATTCAATCTAGTCAGACTCTGTGCGTGGATAATTAATAATGTGTTTTCTTCTGTAAATGTTTTTATTCATGAAAGTCATAAGAAAACGTAATAACATTATCATTTGTCTAAAAAATTTGTCGACGGTAAAGTGTACGTAAGTGCATGTTAAATATAAATACATTAATTTATATGAGAATTGACCATCTTAGCTTAGGACTATTTGGGTCAAAGTTATGTACGTTAACCGAGCTCTACATGATAATTATGTTCAATAAATAGAGACGGTTCCACCTAGAGGTTTGTGCGGTACCATTTGATCCACGGACCAGTACCGGACGTTGAGGACCACTGGTATAGCGTACGATCATTTCAGTTAACGTACATTATTAACAAAATGCTAATATTGATGCTCACTTGATTTTCATATTAATAGTTTGATGATGCACTTAATAAGTCTATATACAATCTATAGATATATTCCAAATAAGTATATTAGTCTAAGCTACAACATATTGGGTATACGCATTATGTACGTTAACCGAACGCTATTATTGACAAATTTCTAATCTATGTTCACATAGATAAATAAACGTTATCAATGTATCAAATATATAACTTTATATTAGACTTTATTACATTACAAAATTTTCTATCTAAAGATCAGATACAATTTAGTATAATTATTTTCATGAATTAGTTGCTTATTATTGCTTTAAGTATACAATTATACTTACGTGTTTATCCATATATGAGATTACAATAATTATACTTATGAGAATTATAAAAATAATCAAACAAATCGTACTGATTTTTCTTTAAATTGTATGATTTTACATGAAACAATAGCTGATATTTTATTAGTTTTATGAGATAATTATTAGTAACTGCTAAATATATTGGGTATACGCATTATGTACGTTAACCGAACGCTATTATTGATAAATTTCTATCTCGCATAGATAAATAAACGTTACCAATGTATCAAATATAGCAATAAAATTAATTAGCTAGGAACCAAATAACAATCTGGACGTTTCTTTGATTGCTTGTGTAGATCTTAATAAATAATGTTCTTTACGCCAGAGAATTGTATTAGATGTCCCATCAATCGGAACATCAACATTTCCCAAAAGCAATTTCCGGACAATCAAAATTTCGGACCGGTCATTTAGCAGCCGGAAATGCACAGTCTTGGATAGTAGATGGACAGCACTACAAACTCTGTCCAACTCTGCGTGAGTGTGGGTGCGTATGGAATGCGTGTATATATATTCTCTGTGTGTGTGTGTTTGTGTTGTGTGTATGTTAATGCACGTGGAGTTTGTTTCGTCGTGCGATCAATTACGAGGACTCTCCTGTGCGGAGCCCGGACTGCGCCGATTCAGTAAGCGTCAGTTAGCCGCCTGCCATGTGCGAAGGTGCATGTGGTTCGAGTTCGTTCCTCCTCTGAAGAAGACGCGAATAGTGAGTGTTCGAGCGAGAAGCTAGTTTTCAAAAAGCAGGATCGGATGCAAAGGTTCGTCTCCATAAGAAAACACGCAAAAGAAATAGCATAAAATTAAATAAACCAAAATAAAAAAGGATCACGTCCGGTCTGCCCTACAGCTTCCGGTTTGTAGCTTATCAGCAGACGACGCGCCACCCTACGAGTTCCGTGAATGAGGAAAAAATTTTTTTTTTTGTATACATACACATATCAACGGCGTATCATAACAGTGTGTTATTCTACTTATCTTATCTATCCGATTGTGCATGTGTGTGACCGTGTGTGTTTCCAGTGCGTTCGTTCCAAGAGCTATTTCAAATTTCTGTGAGAAGACTATTCTCGGATCCAATAGTAATTTTCTTCATTCAAGTATCTCGTCTACAATATACATGCATTCCTCTCGAGATGATGTTGAGTCTGCGTCTGTATTCGCTTGTTGTTTGAACGCGCGCCTTCCGAAGAGTTAAACAGGTTTTTAGCAGTCACTATTTATGCCGACAAACCCATTCATAATAAACATTGGATCGCTCACGTTCTTCACCAACATAACTTCTTGCGAATGGTCAAACATCAAAGAGAAGTTGTGAATCATATAAGTGTTCATCTAACATACACTTATCATGAATACTTTCTATTATCAATCTTTTAATTCAATTTAACAAACATAATACTGTAGAATATTGAATCATTAATAAAGTTACAATTAACAAATTATAGAACTTGGCTATCTAATTTATTTCCAGAGTTAATACTGATATGAAAATTGATATAATTTTTCTAATTAATAGTTTAAATTAAAAAATAGAAAATCTACTTAAATCATTAATAAATTATACAACTTGACTGTATGATTTATTTCTAACGTTAATAGTAAAATGAAAATTGATATATTTTTTCTAATAATCAGTAAAAATTACAAAAATAAAAATAAAGTTATCATTAAAAAATTATACAACTTGCATTTATTTCGCAAAGTTGTTATTAAAATGAAGGTGTTAAAAACCTTAAATCATCAATAAATGATAATAACATTTATAAATGTTGTATAAAATTAGAAAATATATGTTTTTGTACCTAAAAATAATAAAAAAATACAATTTCCAAATTAATGAAAAAAATAACACAAGAAAAATTTATTATATAACCTTGTATATATGTCATGTTGTTGTGGAAAGTACAGAAACTAAATTATCTGGATTTTATACAACAATATGAAATAATAAAAAAAAAGTACAAATTGAATGAATCGTTCCATAAACTGCGTTTCCATTTATTTTACTAATATTAGAATATCTGAACAAATAATTTTAGTGCAAAAATTATGTACAAATAATGGAACTGAGGAATAAAGAAAATAATTGTTTGATTTTGTTTTACGTATACATTAATAATAGCGATATACAATTCAGCTGTATTGAATTATTTGCGAATGCAAACATAATTTCCAATATAGCGCGACAATTTCATGCAAAGTGAATAATTCAATTTGTTACTTTTTGTTTCAAAATATTAATTATAATATGCTATACAAATTCTTGCACACTTTGTACGTTATTACACAATAAAATATGTTTATAATTTTATTAATAACACATAATAATATTTCTTGCAACAATAAATTACAAAAAAAAAACTACACAATAATAAATATAAAATTCATCTGCTCCATTTTTTTACCTTTTCATTTCGCTGAAATCATTAAGGAAATGAAGGAAGCAAAAACAAACATTATAAATTTATTTATTACTTCATTAATAAGATTTTCCTATTTTCTTTAAGATTTACAATTATTCAAAGAGAACATTACGCAATAAAAACACTTTATTAGCCTAATGGAATGATTCATGTGTTTTCGTATTTTATGATTGTAATTATTATATAATTGATCTAATATATATTGTTAATTAATGTATATAAATTTTTGACTAAAAATATCGAAATTGAATCGTGTTCTTTTGAAAATGAATAAAAAAATACAATTATATTTTAAGTTGTAGTTTTACGAAAACACAAACTATTGAACTTTTTCACCTGTATTTCCTAGTTTTATTCTCAGTAATCAGTATTTTACATATTTTAAAGAAATTTGTACGTTTTATTCAATTATAATTCAAATATGGAAATTCACAAACATTTAATTTCCTGTGATGAACATAAATAAATTTCTTCGAAGTGACTAATAAGAGTTTAATATTTGACTCATCTTTGGAATGTGTAAAAACACATGTAATTTATTTTTTTTATTTGTAATTTATTTACTGGTAAATTTACATTTTTTTTAAATTTTTGAATTAAATCTTAACAATTATTGCAAACAATTGTTGGAAGCGATTGAAAATACCAGTTTTTATTTTTTGGTTATCATAGCAAAAAGAAAGTCAAATATTATAAGATTTCATCTTAAAAGATAAGTTTATTCTAGTAGGAAACAAATTATATATTAGCTACGAATTCGTGAAAAAACTATAGTTTATAAATATATTCGTGTGAATTATGCATGCAAAATTGTTTAATGATTGAAGGAAAGAATCGAAAGTATGTGAGAGAGAGAGAGCAAAGTAGCACTTACGAATTATTTTTTTTAATGATATACAAGGAATAACAAGTGCGTAAGATAATTTGCATGCGGATAAAGCAGTATTAATATTTATTAGGTTTCCGTCTTTCTCGGCGAATGCGAATTTTATTTCAGAACGTGGGTTATTTTTAAATATTTATAACTTACAATATCGATTCACTCAAGAACGGAATTGCAAAACACTGCATTTCACAATTTCCTACTTTAAAATTTTCTATTAATAACAATAATGTTTATAGCAACAATTACATAATTAGAGTAGATATATTTTTGTTTCGCGGCTATTACTTTGCATAGTGTGGTTTCGATTAGTCCGGTTTTAAAATTTCAAAATAAAATTAATTAAAAAAATAGCACACAAAATTATTTGATCGTTTGTTTTCCTTTGCACATTCAAGTCTTTATTTGTGCAGTTTTAAAGTCATCGATTTGTCCGGTTTCAGACTATCCGGAATATCACTGGCATAGTGCGGGTAGTATATTGATGTAATATAAATAATTACAGACTAAGAGAATAAGCAATAAAAATCACTTTGATCACTGGAAAGGAATTATTTTTTAAACGTTCTAAGTAAATAGATTAAAATTGCTTATTGTTATTCTAAATTTTCTTTTCATTTTTCTATTATTAGATAATAGCATAATTCACTAAAATTGTATTTAGAATGTGTACAGTTGAAGGAAGTTTTGCAATGTTTAGGTTACTTTTGAAAACTGAAATGACCTTTGATCATAATTCAATAATCTATGTTTGCTACAAACGAAAACGTTACCAATACATTTTAATGTGTATACAGAAATATCGTTTCATTTCGCTGAAATCATTAAGTAAATCATGCTTCAAAGATCAAACAGTTTAAATTTATATTTTATTAATTACAAAGGTTCAAATAAAATATTATGAAATGTCATAAATCGTTTTAATTACTGTTTTATGCTTATAATATTGATGTAATAAAAATAACTCTTTTGATATTACAACTTTAGTCATATAATTGAAAATTTATATTATTTTTTTACAAACGAGAATGTTTCTAATTTTCTATGTTTCAGTGAAAATAAATTCAAACTTAATTACAAAGGTACATATAAAATATTATTTAATTTCTTAAATTTATATACTAATTAAATTCAGCAAAAAGCTTCTATATTACTTATATAAAAATTATACAACCCTTTGATATTTATGTAAATATTTGTGAGATTTTATATAACTTTAATGGAAACGTTTCTAATTAATTATTTCTATATACTATATAGAAATATCTTTTTAAGTCATTAAAAATGTCGCGGAAGGAAAAGTAAACATTATTAATTCAAATTTTATTACAAATGTACAGATAAAATATTACATTTTTATGCTCCTATTTTACTTCGCGAGGAGGGGAAAACCTTGCATGGTGGATTTGTACTGTGGGACTCTTATCCACTAAAAACCTCTTCTGTTCTTCATCAGCATTCAGGTCCTGATAGTAGATACTGCTCAGAAATGTTGATTGTCTCAGCTGTTAGGGTAAATCAGTATTGGCTTCCACTGCCATTTTCTTCGTTTTCTCTCTCCACTCTCCTCTGATCTTCTTCCTTGGTAGAGAGCACATCTGACACATACCTTGTAATTACGTTTTTCAGCAGTTCACTGACAAAATTCTGCGGGGTTAGAACAACTCCGAGGTTTGATTTAGTTACATGCTTCATTGCAGCCCACCTGCAGCAACTGAATAACGTATGCTCCGGGCTGTCTTATCCTCGTAATACCAGCACTTCTCGTCCTCCTTATACTTACTTATAATAACCATACATCTCATTGATTTTGTATGTAAATATTTGTGATTTTATATAACTTTAATTAATTATAATTTAATTAACTTTACTACTTATATAAATACATAAAAATATATAAAAATTATCTTTTCATTTTATTTTGCAGAAATTATTAAGATCTTAATTTTAAAATTAATTAAAAACTTGAGATAAAATTTTATAAACTTCCTTTAATGTTTACAATTTATTTCCTAATAAAATGAAGCTATTAATGATATAATAACCATACAACCCTTTAATATTATAATATAAATATTTATGACTTTATACAACTTTATTAGTTCTATAATTGAATTTGAAATTGAAAGACATTAATGTTATTGCCCGTAGAAAATCTTGTCATAAAAGACACAAATTTGTCAAGATTATGAAGCGATTAAAACTTGTCGCGCTCTCCAAGACGCACATACAAACACTGAGTAAATTACGGCACAAAATTCTCCTGACCTACAAAAAAAAGTAGTAATACTGTTTTTAATTAAAAACTCGTTAGTCCTGCAATGGTATTTCGCAAATGTCGAGGAACAACACATTTTTTTCTACTTCTTCCTCCTTCAGAAATACTCGACGCACTTATCGCAACCATAACTACATTCATTACATAATGAGTTATTTTTCCACTCGGACTGCACAATCTGATAAATCTTATTATGCAGCGTATTTGAAATGCACAAAAAATTCTTTATATGCAGAAAACAATCTGTTTTCAAAATAGAAGTAACTAATTTAGTTCTGGCAATTCAACTTTTTTTTTTTTATATATAAATACACAATATCTTGTATAGTCCTGCTTTGATCAGTCCGGATTCTCCATTTTATTTTTTATTTAATTAAGCTAATAAACAATTAATTCTGAAAAATACACAAAAAAAAATTATCCATTTTTTTTTATACAAAAATATATATATACCTTTTTTTCTAAATATTCTTTTATTTTATTTAACAACGAAATTGATTAAAATATGTTGAAGCAAGAGAGAAGAAATTGTGTTTAGAAAATTATTCTACTTGGAATGAATGTTTGATTTATGTATTTGTTGTTGTGTAAATATTGCTGTACTTGTATAATTAT